CTTTTCTGGGTGTCCTGGACATTTCTCCTGCCTGTGACTTTTCCCAGCAGGCTGGCTGCCACATGCTCTCTTTAGGGAAGTAGTCAAGTAGGGAATCAGTTCTTCCTCCCCGACCCTGCCCTCTGTCCCTTCATGCAGACGTGAATTGTGCAGGTGCTTGGGGCCAGACCTGAGAGAGGTCGGAATGAGGCTCTAGGCATTCCACAATGGAAGCATGGTTTTCTCTTGAGGGTCTGCCTTTTGTGTCCCCAGGCAAGCTCAGCTCTCCATTTTCATGGTGAAATAGGAGGAAACTGAGTCAGATGGTTTCTGGGGAACCTTTTGTCTTCATGGCTATGATAGTTAAGGGGTGTTTTAATGAGTAATTTCTTACTCTGTCCTGGGCAACTTCTCTGTACACAGTAACATCTATTTATATGGACTTTCCTATTAACCAGTATGTGCTCCAAAAATATGAAGGTGCTTAAATATGAAGACACATTTTGGTGTGGTTATATTAGGAGATAATGTGCATTCATTAAGAATGTTGCTTCCAAAAGTTTTCATGGTCTGGAAATACATGCACACTGCACAACCACACCAGGAACAGATACAGACAGCAAGGGCACAGTGCTGGATGGTAAGGAGTTTGCCAGCCACAAAGTTTTTGTAGTGTTATCCTTGACTGTGGGATTACACATGTTTAATTTTGTAGGAATTGAACCCAGAGTCTCAAACATGCTAAGTACATACCCTACCATGAAACTATAACCTCAGTCCACAAATATTTACATTTGTCTACTTTGTTATTTTCATTTTCCAAACTAACACCACAGGGCCAGAAAGATGGCTTAGACGGCAAACATGCTTGCTGTCCTGAGTGTGACCCCTGGGCACCACAGTGGAAAGAGAAAACCGACTTCCAAAAGTTGCTCTTTGATGTCTGGGTATGTTCAGTGTCATACTCCAATACACACCCACACCCCCTTATACACGCCCCCCACACCTACACACACACACACACACACACACACACAAAATCATGCTTTTCTATAATTAAAAAAGAATCTTATTCTCAACATATAAAAGTGATTGTTACTACAATAATTTTATCTACATTTTAAAAGACCCCCTGGAAGTCTGTATGAATTTTGACAGACACTGTCTATATGTATGGAATCCATAAGCTACATTTTTAGAACTTGTCTTTTTTTTTTTTTTTTTTTTTTTTTTTGGTTTGCCAAGACAGGATTTCTCTGTGTAGCTTTTTGGAGGCTATCCCTGGAACTCGCTCTGTAGATGAGGCTGGCCTTGAACTCACAGAGATTCCCCTGCCCCTGCCTCCCAAGTGCTGGGATCAAAAGCGTGCACCACAACTGCCCATCATTAAAACATCCTTATTAATTTATTCCGTATACAGTGTTCTGTCTGCATTATCCTGAAGGGCAAAGGAGGGCACCAGATCTCATCATAGATGGTTGTGAGTCTCCATGTTGTTGCTGGGACTTGAACTCAGGACCTCTGCAAGAGCAACCAGTGTTCTTAACCTCTGAGCCATCTCCAGCCATTTTTAGAACTTGGATTCATTAAGTGTTCTGTTTTCAAACATAATGGAAATAGAATTCTGTAATTAAATTTTGTGTGCCCAAGCTAGGAGTGAATGTTAAAATTGTAATTTGCCTTGAATTTTGCAGATTTGCCTACAACATGGATTCCCTTCACCCCAGATTATAAGCCTATAAAACTGGTCAGAGTCTAGTATCTCTCTGAAGAATGACAATCTTGAAATATATGATAGAACCTCCTGAGCCCCAAGAGGAGGGAAGGGAAGGCAGGCCCCTGAGAGTTATCCCTGGAGAAGGCTCTGCAAACGACATTCACTTGGAATAGGTGCTATGGTGTGTCTGCTGAAGTGTGACTTGGGGATATCAGATCACAAACCAAGGCAGGTTGCAAATGCCAAATGGTGTAAGTAAGTGGCCGACAGGAGAAGGTGCTCCCTCCATGTATGGAAGAGAAAAGCCCGGAGGAATAGCAGATCAGTTACGTGGTGGGCATGGGAGCCCATCAACTCCCACAGTGGAGGGGAGCGAAGAAAATGGTGACCAGAGCTGAGCAAGCCTCTAGAACAGCTGTCAAGGGAGGCTTCTCTCCTTCTTTTGCTAATTTCCAAATGGCCACTGTGTAGCTTGGCATTCAGAGAATTAAAGCAGATTGCACTGACGCCTCTTGAAGCTGAGGACAACACTTCCCATGTGTCAGCCACAGCCAGGGAGAGAGGCAAAAACCTACTGTTAGCTCACCTGGCCCCTGGAACTCATAAGAGAAGATTTCATATACAGCTATGACACTCAAAGTGTGGTCCCAGGGTATTGGGCAAAATACAGTCGGGGGCTGCCTAGACTAATGGGGAAAATCTGCATTTTAAAACATTCCCTGGGAATCTGTATAAAGTTTGACAGGCACCGTCTATTGGTGTGGAATCTGTAAGCTACATACATTTTAAGAACTTTGAATTCATTCAATTTTCTGTTTTCAAATATAATGAAAATAAAATTCTTTAACCTGGAAGCAACCTAGATGCCCCTCAATTGAAGAATGGTTAATGAAGATGTGGCACATCTACACAATGGAATACTACTCTGCAGAAAAAAATAATGGTATCTTGAAATTTGCAGGCAAGTGGATGGCACTTGAAGAAACCATCCTGAATGAGGTAACCCAGTCACAAAAAGAGGAACACAGTATGTACTCACTCATATATGGATTTTAGACCTAGATCAAATGATCACCAGCCTATAATTCACATCACCAGACGAACTAGGATACAAGGTGTATTCTAAGAGATTCATATAAAGTCCCTCACAGAACTGGGAAGGGACAAGTCCCCCAGAGCTCAGGTGAAGTGGGGGAAGACAGCGAATGGAGAGAGAAGTAGGAGAAAATGAGGGGGAGGAAATGAAAACATGTGCGACCAGGAAGATTGAGCCTGGTTAGGAATAGAAGATAGGAAAGAGAGAGAGAGAGACAGACAGAGACAGAGAGAACATAAAAGAGGGAGCCAATATTGGTTTGAAGATAAAATTGAACACAAAGAAAGGTGGAGAGAACTACAAGACTGCTCCCAACTAACAATCTCAGCTTCCGTGGAAAGGCTATCATAAATGCCCTTCCCGGAGAGTGAGATCAACAACTAACTTCTCCATGGAGCCCTCAACTAATGCCTGTTGAAAACAGGATCAAACACCCATACATAAACACTGAGTCGAACTAGAACCCAGAAGCAGATGGAGAGGACAAGACCACGCGGCAGAAGCACATAGAGACAGCTTACCTGAACAAGGAGGAGCTAACGGGCCCCCAGACTGATAGCTGGGAAGCCAGCATGGGACTGACTCAGGCCCCCCTGAATATGGGTCTCAGCCAGAAGGACTGAGCAGTCTAAGGGACCTCAGACAGTGGAGCCAGGATGTATCCCTGGTGCACAAAAGGACTTTGCGAACATATCCCCCATGGAGGGATAACTGTCTTAATCTAGAGACAGGAGAGAAGCCCTAGTCCCTACTTCACAGGACCTGTCAGATCTACATGACCCCAACTGGGTGGCATTCCCCTACACATGGAATTGGGGTGGGGGGATGGGAGGGGAGGGTGTTTAGAGTGCATGTGAGAGGGCAGAGAGGGTAAAAGGGAGGGAAGGAGGGAGGAAGGGTTGGGGGGGAGGGAGGGAGGGAGAGGGAACTGGGATCGACATGTAAAACAATAAATTAAATTAAAAAAATGCTTTGACTCCAAAATTTAAGTTGAAGGACAAGTTACTGGGGAAAAGGATTTCTATTTTTATTTCCATAGAAAATGAAAAGATGTGGATTCCTTCCAGACTAATGAGGTTTGATCACACTAATGAGGTTTGATCACGCCAGACCGCCTGAAACAGAGTACAAGCTAATCCTACATTCAAAACAGCTGGACAAAACAGCCCTACAGACTACAGCCAGGATATCTGAATCTTCTTCGAATCCCCCAAGACAGCGCCCCTTACCAGCAGGAAGTAGCTTGGAAAGAACGACGCCCAAATTCCCAAATATTGTGTATAAATGTTTGTTTTCATTTAATTGGACTTTGTTATAAAAAATTAAATAAAAATAAAAATAAAAAAAAATGGCAAAAAGATTAACCCTTCATCTAAAATCTGTGTCTTTCCCCCAGATAAGATAACCAGAAGGAATTTGACACTTAAAATTTTTCTTTTTAAACCTGGTTTAGGCCAGGCAGTGGTCACATACCTTTAATCCCAGCACTCAGAAGGTAGAGGTCAGCCTGGTCCACAGAGCAAGTGCCAGGACAGTCAGGGTTATACAGAGAAACTCAACAAACAAAACCCAACCAACCAACCAAAAACACAATAAAAGCCTAGTTTGTAAAAAAGCCAGCATTTTCTTAGCTGCCCCAATTTTCCAACTTTTTATAACTCTGGCAAATATTATTTTCATGAAGAGATATGTTTATCACAGACTTATAAACTTCTTGCTTTCTACCATTTCCATGTTCTAGAGGGAACCGTTTCTTTGTTCTTGGAAACAACTTTAACTTGGCTTCTTGTTGCTGAGTGGAAGGTAGTGTTCTGGTGTCTGCATTGAAAATGCACTGGCAACCTGCTAAATGTTTGAGAATTCATACTGAGAAATGAGCTGCCTGGGCATAGGAAGAATTCAAGTGCTGTCAACCCAGTGTCCCTTTTGAGAGGCTGGGCTTCCCTAAGCAGTGAATGACCAGAGGGCATCCCCACGCATGGCATCGCAAACTTACAGCATCCGGCAAACACTTGCAGCAATTCAGCATTGGCCTCTAAGGGCACCAGGTCTGGGAGAAATCTTACAGATAAATTATGCATCCCGTCAAGTGCCTTTTATTATTACTAAAGGATGTTTTAAATGTCTTCTAAACATTTGGGCTAGGTGAGAGGAAGACAGGAAGGGCTCTAACGCTAGAACCAAACTCATAGCAAAGGTCACGCTCACCTGATTGTCGAACTCGTTGGAGAGTTTGCTGGACCAGAACCTCTGACCGTGGGACGATGATGATGAAGTCCACTTTGCTAAAGTGGCCGAGGTCCAGGCTCTGGCTGCCACTGTCCGCGATTGCACACACCTGGGACAAGAGTCTTCTGGCAACTGTGAGCTGTGGTTGATAAATTTGGAAGGTTTCGTTATCTACATCTAAAATTAAAAAAAGTTATAAGGACAATATTAATTCAGTTCTTTGACAGGCATTATGAATCCAAATGGAGACATGAAACACAAGGGAAAAGCAATGTCTCATGACTAAGAATTCCCACTTGCTATTCTCATTTAATATGGAGTTTTATGGATTTGCCTATTCCCCTACTAAGGCCTGACTGAGAAGATATGTTAAAGAATTGGAGATGACAGTCTTACAAGTGAATTACTTAAAGACTGGTGGATTATCTCACAACCCTTTTCCCCATAGTGGGGATGCAGCACACTGTCACAGCTGGGCCAGGACTCAGCAGTATTCAGTTCTCTAAGACTCTCAGCGTGGCCCAGTGCGCAAGCCCGTGTAGAGAGGGAGGCAGTCCTGGAGCTATAACACCGTAAGGTTCCTTTAAGTTTCTCTGGGTGATAGCAAAGTGAACATTTCTCCTTCAGCAAGTCAGCTGCGACATGGCCTGAAATCCCTCCTCTCTGACTAGACAGCACGGACCAGAGACACAACCTTCACCTTTCTTCCTGTTGGGTCTGGCTTTGCCAGCACTTGTGACCTGGCAGGCCTAGGAGGTGAAGTCACTGCCAGTGCTGAGCCGGAACTATCCAGAACCCTGCCTTAAGACACAGCCAGCTGGCCTCTCAATCGGTGATACACTCCCTGCACTGTCCAGATACTCTGAGTCCTCACCAAGCCCCGCAGACAACACAAGGTCCAGTGTAATGAGCAAAATGCCAGTGCTAATTAAAGTTGTCTAAACTCAACTGAGGTGTGGCTGAGGTAGCTGCACTGGACGCTCACTGAGCTGGACCTGATACAGAGGTACCCTTGCTGACAGAGCTTAACCGTGACTCTCCACAGCAGAGCTGGGAGAGCAGCTCAGTGGTGCAGCACACCTCTAGATATGTAGGGCCCCGAGTTCGATTCCCAGCACCAGAAAAGAAGAGGCAATACTAGCACAAATAAGTTTTAAATTATGCACACGAGGGTTTTGTCTGCATATATGTCTGTGCTCAGTGCCCAGTGCTCAGGGAGACCAGAAGAGCACACTAGATCCATTAAAACTGGTGCTATAGACATCTGTAAGTGGCAATGTGGATGCTGGGAACTGAACTGGGGTTCTCTGGAAGAGCAGCCAGTGCTCTTAACCACTGAGTCATCTATCTAGCTCAAATGTGTGTGTGTGTATAATATATATATATATTATTTTTTTTAACCACAAAGAGTTCCCATGAAGGGGCTGAAGAGATGACTTACTGGTTAAGAGCAAACAACGTTCTTGCAAAGGACCAGAGTTTGCTTCCCAGAACACACATCTCACACCCTTGGGTGATACAATACCCTGTCCTGACCTCTGGGGATTCCTGAACATATCTGTTGTACATTCACACAACCACACACATACATATAAGTAAGAGTTTTAAAAAAAAAAAAGTACTAATGAAACACAGCTGTCTTCCAATATAAATAGGTTATTTGTTCCTTATTTCACAGGTTGGCTGGCTGGCTGGAACCATGTGTATCTATAGATTTGTATGTATAATTTAACTTAGCAAACCCTGAAGTTTGAGGAAATATAAAACAACATTGATCTAAGGACCATTTCTTTGTAAAAATGTTATTGTAAGTTTTAGTGTTTGTAGGTGTGCCCGTGTCCATGTACCACAGCACGCATGTAGAGTTCATTAAAGGCATGCACCACCAAGCTTGGCTGACATTTCTTTTTAAATTAAATGTGTATAGTGTTTTGGTTGCATGTATGTGCCTGGTTCCCTCAGAGGCCAGAGGAGGTGTTGGGTCCCTTGGGAGTAGAGTTTCAGATGGTTATGAGCAGCCTTGTGGGTGCTGGATTGAAAAGAGGTCACCGCTCTTAGCTGCTTAGCCATCTCTCTCCCTTTGAGCAATATTGCTTAGACAGGGGACCAAGCACTTGGATATTTATATGCATTCTTGGAGTTAAGAATGAATTAATTATTAGATATGCATGCATAATGTGTGTGGTGTGCAGGAGTACATGAGTGGGGGGGGGTCAAAGGAGTCTGTTCTCTACTTTCATTTTTACTAGGGCTCTAAATGGGGCCACTGGCCTGGGCTACGAGCAGCCTATACCTGCTGAGCAAATTCTAAACTTATTAACAATTCAAAGCAGTTACTATAAACCCACTTTAGGTTTGCTGAATGGTTGCTGTATTACCAAATATTGCCTAGAAGTCGAGACACTTGGTGGCCTATATTCACATTTGCTTTTACAGGAAGGTGAAGCCAAGTCCCACTGCGACCTCCATTGCCTGAGCGACCCTCTATATAAATGATGCATTCCTAGGCACAGGAGGCCAGATGGCCATCATTAGCAGTTTATGGGGGAGGGGATGCTTCTCTTCTGTCTGTTTTCCTATTCTGTCTTCCCTACAATCAGTGAACTGCGGCACACAATCTAATAATCAGCTCCCCCCTCCCTGGCCGGGCACTGCCTGACACTGGGGTCCCTGACCCCCTGCATCACGGATGATGTGAGGCGACACTGTTCTGTCTGCCCGGAAGGGACAGGTCAGAGAGACTCAGGGAAAAGTGAGGCAGTCCTGCATAGCCCGCAGTCTACATGCTTCGAGAAAGTATTTGGAGCCCCCAGCAAGCATGACAATTCTCTGGGTAAAAATAGGAAAACACTCTGAGGACCCAGACAAGTGTACAGACGCAAACATGTGATCCCAGAGTTTCGGAGGTAGAGGCTAGACGGTTAAGGGTTCCTCACCAGACTCAGCTACATAATGAGTTTGAGGCCAGCCTCGTCTACAGAGCGAGTTCCAGGACAGCCGGGACTACACAGAGAAACCCTGTCTTGAAAACCCAAAAGAAATAAAACCGGAAAAGACTCCCACACATAAAAAAATAAATTGATTAAAAATTAAAAAAGAGAAGAATGTCTTGAGGCAAAATTTAAGGCAGATGAACAGGAACCTGTCAGGAAAAAGACTCCAAGGAGAAGGCCACACAGCAAAGTCAGGCTGGACTCAGTTTACCTCACAGACAATGAAAAGCCTGCTGTAACCTATAGCTTGAGGGCTCCTCAAAACCCTGAGTTGTTTTGGTTTTTGTTTTAGCTACCACAGTATCTGTCTGTCCCAAGGACTGATTCCTTCCTTCGGCCTCAGGCCACATTACCCAGGTTTTGTGTGGGGATCATAGCAGCAGCCTCCTGAGGTGACACACACTCGTTAAGGTCACCATTGAAAGGGGTGACCACGCTGTCTCCTCTCCTTTGTTGTATTTTTTCTAGCAGCTTGTCCAAGTCATCACCTAAGTCAAAACACAGTGGATTTAAGAAGGTTATAATAAGCAACCGGCCCGAGTGCTTCTTATCAGCATCAGATGAGGCAGGTGGGCTGGGTTCTTATCCAGATTGGAAAGCTGGCCTGCAATTATGTCAGAATTCCTACCTCCCATCTCTCTGGCCATCTCGCCAGTGTGTCTCTATGGTAATAGCTATTCTCGATGGCATCCACCCCATGGGCACGTGCACACTTTCAGCCTGGCTTACAAACACAGGCAGAATGGACCAGTTTTGTTTCTGCCTGACATGAAAAATTTCAAATCCAGGGAGAGACAGAGAAAACAGCCGGAGGTCACCCAGCAGTCACAGCTGAGCTCCTTGTGTCTCTGTGCCTTCCTCTGGGTCTCACATGGCTTCCTGCGGTGTTAGTCACCACGAGTAAGGTAAGCCACTCCAAACGAGAGCTCGGCCAGCAAGCTGAAGCCCCACCTTCATCCCCGACAGGCTAGGATTTAAATTCAGACCATCTTGCAACTAGGGCTGGCAGGGTGGCCCAATCTTAAAACCACTTACCTAATGAGGTGGTTTTGAAATGCGATGCCAGGAAACTGACCTTTCCTGTGATGAGCTCATAACTGATTTCTTTCAAAAACTCACTTGTGGTAAGCATGCTCTCTGCCAGAGCCCGGGATTGACGTTGCCCTGAAGGACAAGAGAGGAGGGTGATGACTCATGACTGGAGCTCATGCATGCTGCAACATTAACTCCGATAAACACAGAAGCGGCAGAAGTCTAAAACTACAGGGACTTGATTAAGAAGGCCATGGCATGTCGAAAAGTGTATTTGAAACATCAATTTGAAGATTGCAATTGAAAATAAATGTATACACGCATATATGTAAAGGCCAGAGAAGTCCATGGAAAATGCAACAGTGTGTTAAAAACAAACTTATGTGGAACCATTTTTAGAATTAAAAATACAGCCAGGAAACACAGAAGGGCGGACAGAGAGTTTGGCTAGTTTGTGAGCATGGAGGGGACTGGATCTCTTTGCTAGGAAGTGGTGAGAGCCATCCAGTGAAGACAGGAGAAACGACAGTCTGAGTGCTGATGGCTATGAGGGATGACACCTGGCAGAGAGCCCACACAGAGCACATTTTGTCATCTCTGTATTTTCTTCAGGGTTCCTGGGTACTTGGAGATTTATATGCATTGTTGTAGAGTAGACTCTTCAGTGTGAAGAGTTCCTGGCAAATGGGACTGGCTGTCACAGGCACTTACAAAACCTTTACAATTTATTTGCTTTTTCGTTTTGGTATGAGTGTGTGTGTGTGTGTGTGTGTGTGTGTGTGTGTGTGTGAGATGTGCCACAAATGCATGCAGGATCCTGAAAATCAGAACAGAGCCCACAGAACTGGAGCTATAAACAGTTGTGAGCAGCCATGTGGATGCTGGGACTTAAACCCAGGTCCTCTGCAGGAGCAGCCAGTGCTTTTAACTCCAGCTCTAACACTTGCAAAATCTTTTGAGGACAGAAGTTATATGAGATGAGGGAATCTGTTTCAAGAGTTAACTATGAAAGAATGTTTACAGAACCAGGTGCTGGGACACCAGCCACACTGAGGCTTTAACCCTTGGTCTGAGAAAGACGGTGAAGTTAAAATTGGGAGGAGAAACCCAAGCCACAGCCATTAGCCAGAGAATAATCAGTGGATGCGGGAAACACCCATTGCTACTTTTCAAATGCACACAACGGAATGAATGCATTTAAGAAGTGACAAGACATCTCCATCCCCACTTACCTAATACCACCACACAAAATTCATTCCCTCTGATTTTCGATGCACAAATTGCTACCACATAATCCGGCAGCCTCTGGTAGTGTTTGATTTCACTGAGAAGCCTCAGTGTCTCCGAAATGCCCTCCGCCAGAGAGTTTTGGGTCACAATAACATGAACCATGTCTTGAGACACGCTGGCGGCTAGTCTAGCGAGCCAGGGGAGCTGCCCCGGCAACACGTGTGCACCGTGTGGACCCATCTGCAGGACCCGCTCTCTCACAGTGAATTCTTGCATTGCTTTCAGCATGATTTGCTCAAATTCTTCCCTGAGAGGCATCTGCTCATGACCTATATCAAGGAGAATTACAGCCGGAAATTAGGCGATCAGAGAAGAGAGAAAACACATAGCACCTAGTATCCAAAACTTCCTCTAAACCCACCACGCTCCGACCAGCAAGCCCATGCTTTCATCTCACAGAGGTCCCAGTCACACTAACCACCCACCAGTGGGAAGTCCCTTCTTCCCCTCTCTCTGGCCTCAGTTTCTAACCCCCAAGCTTGCTCTCCTGTACGCTAGGGATGCTCTCTTTCAAGGAGGATATGCTAAGGTGCAAGGCCAGGTCCGTTGCATGTCCTGGGAGGCAATGACTTCCCAGCCTCAGCAGGAGATTCTGCTAATGACTAATAAAATGAGCCAACACACTGGTGTATAATCAATTTTAGGTACCATTCATTTTTCATTTTATGCATAGATACTTTAAAATGCTTTCATGTGTTGGCTTCACCTAATTTTGACATTATCCACAGGAAAATTATTTTTCCCAATCTACACATTCGTTGCCCAGCCTACAACTTTCCCCTGACAGAGAATGCTCTGTCATTTCATTCTTGTCCTCTGGATTGCTGAATATGACACCTGGCCTCTTCTCCCAGACATAGTCCAGCTAAGCTTACACTGATGACCTGTGGCCTTTGAATTAGAGGAATTTTGTTTCTTATTGTCTTTAGGAACTTAACTAGTCTTTAGAACAAAATCAGCAGGCACCCACGTAGTACAAAGTAATTAATATTTTTTTTTCCCTTAGTTTAAATTAAAACCTAGGGGACTTGTTGACTCGTTCTGCCCATTTTTCCCCCTGCATGAATCTGAGTCTGGAGACTCAAGGGCTCCTGTCAGCTGGAGCAGACCTTTCAGTATCTATGATCTGAGCTAGGTCCTGGCTTTAACCCCAGGCTACAGCACAGAGGTAAGGGTAGGGGACCTCTGCCTGGAAGGCAGCTCCGAGAGTCAGAATCCACCATACTTCTGATGGCAGTAAGAAAGTCAGGAGCTTAATTATTATTTTTAAAAGACAAGTGGGATTCTACAAGATACAACATTAAAAACAGAACATACTCTAACAAATAAGTAATCTATATCGGAGAAGACAGGGCTGGTTGAGGGCCGAGGACAATGGGAACCTCAGATAGGTGCTTGTCATCTGTTCATAGAAGCAACAAGAAAACACTACTGCTTGCATTAGGTTTGTTTTTGGAGCTAGAGGGATTATAGCCTGGCACTTGCTATAGACTGGCGTGTGAGTGAGGCTCTGGGTTCGAGTCCCAGGACTCTACCCACCTAGCCTAAATGTGGGTTGCTCATGTCCTTCCCAACCCCACCCCTTGCTAGGTGGTAGTGAATGGTGGGATATTTGGCTTTGTTTTTATATCAGTTGGGAGTCATTCAACCTCTGCTCTCCACTCAGCTTCAACAAATTAGCATCACAGCTTGTAGTCACCTCATTCATACTGCGCAGAGAGCTCAAGGTAGCTGAGTTGGTACTACGAAGTGAAGGGAAGGTGGTCATTTTTTTATAACTTTCTTCTGCTGGGGCACATGATAACGAAAAGCAGGAGGCCCTGTCTCCATTTCCTAGTGTCTGCCATTGAAAACATGAGCGGTTCAGGGGCCCAGTTTATAGTTGTAAGAGACCTAGGGCAGACGAGGAGCCAGCAACACATTCTCTTGGGGGCACGCAATGAACCCATGCAAAGGCATTTGGGGGAAAATAAATTGGTACAGCATGTCTCCAGCATTCTTAGTAATCTTAAAACTCATTTGTAAAATTCTGATCGAATCACTGGTAAGAAACAAAAGTGGGGGGGGTGTGCACTCAGGTTAGGATAAGAGAAGATCTCTTAGAACGACACGTGACCTCCATGTCTCCATGTCTCCGTCACTACCACTGTCAGTCCTGACTGGATTCTAAAGTTCTTTCCTCCACTTCTTCCAAACTCGGTGACGGCAATTTTCCCTCTCAGGGCTATCTCCTAGAGCATCAGCTTTGATGGCTCTCAGACAGAGCCACCACAATAGGAAGGAACATGTTTCTAGCAGACCTGGAGCCCACCTGGTTTGATGGTTTCCATTATCTACTTCAAAAGGTTTCCAGCTTGTGAAATAACAGAAAAAAACATTTGAAGTGACTGCCATAGAAAGGCCCTTGCTTTCTGAAGAACCTTGCTTTTCCTCTTCCGTGTCCATGCTCAGAGAAAGAATATTAAAGCTGGCATTTTAGAACTTTGTATAACTTTTTAAAATGTCTATAACCTGTGCCTATGTGAAAATAGTCTTGTTGCTTCTCAAACTTAGAGGGACAGGACAATTTTTTTTTTTTTTTTCATGAATACCAGAACAAAGAACGTCCCAACACACAAACCCAGGTGAAAAAAAGGAAGGAGGAGGGAGGGAGGGAGAGAGGGAGGGAGGGGCGGGCTATTTATACTATATACCAACAGACCTAATGGCTGGAAGTAAAATTCTACAGATAATTGACCCTGAAGAGCAAAAAAGAATCTTGTTTAATTAAATCAGAAATCTCTAAGTTAAGAGTGTTTTTTTTTTTTAATAACTTGAAAGAAGATATTTTAGTTGTTTTCATTTAATTAGCTAGGACCCTGGGTTTTCTTGGAAGGTTATTAGGGTTGAAGGGAAAGACAATGACTGGCCTGCTTGCCTTACCGAGAACACACCCTGACCCTGTTCGCACAGGTCTGGGGAGCATCTGGGCCTGCTTTCAGGCCCTGGAAGACAGTTCACAGCCCAAAGTTTGGAGATTTAAGGACTTCTAAGGAGCGGGAGGAGGTGATTTTATAACAAATACAGTTTAAGTTACAGATCTATTATGAAAGATGGAAAATGTGGCTTAAAGAATCCCTGTCAGAGCAGAGTCCACACTGGGCGGAGCCTCCTGGGAAGTGAAGTGGCCTTTCCAGTGTTGCTCCATGACACTGGAAAGGCTATGTCTGGCTTGCTGAGATGTTTGCTTGTTAAATACTGTCTCAGTATTTTTGTGGTTTCTTAACACCATAGAACTCTGTAACATAAAAACAAACAAATAAACAAAAAAAAAAAAACCCTCATGAGCACAAACAAAAATTTTTATATGAAAATTTGCACCTCAAACATTTTCCTAAGCAAATCAATAGTGTGAATCCCAGAGAGAATGTGTAATTAGGCTGTATATTTGATGGCTCCCGGCAGTTTGCAAAATAAAAGACATTTCAATGTAAATGTTACTGAGCCACCACACTGCTGTCAGGACACCTGCCTGTACTCACTGTAGGTTCAGAGGAAGTGAAGGGTTCATGACCTTTGCATCCCTGTTTCCCTAAGGACTTCCTTCCCACAAGAGCTAGGGCGAATCATGAAACTGGACACTAGAGGGAGCAATCCGTCTCTTTTATGACAAGCATGGAGAAAACAGAAAATATAGAGAGGAAAGCAAAAAGTCTGAAGACTGGGTAGACGGAAAAACTTAAGAGCATATGAGTCAGGCAGGCAGACCAATCGAAAAAGGACGCAGCACATTCCAAAAAACAAACAAACAAACAAACAAACAAAAAACCAATTTAAAAGGTTCCTAGCACATGACTCTGGAGAGCAACTTACCTAACCGCACAAGATACTGTATGGTCAGAAGGATCATGTTCTCCACACTCAGGAGCTGGGTACTAGCCAACCCTAATTGCTCCAGATCTTTGTTTTCCAACTGTGGAATCTTGTAGCAATTCACCAGCAGAGGACTCACAACAATGTCACCAACATTTCCATAGAAATAGGGTAAAGTTCCATAGCCTGCCCCCAAAGAAACAAGTCAGTAAGACTTCCAAATTCCAGTCAGGCACAGCTGCTCAGACACCCTGTGTCCCGCTAGACGGCCACCGTAGAGAATTTACCTGCATATCACATGTGCTACAGAAACTGAGGGCCCCCTCCAGTTACATCACATTTCCCACAGGAGGGATTCCGTGAACACCATAGTTCTGTCCTGATCAACTTTCTTTTCAGATGAGAAAACAAACTACGATGACATTTCAGTTCCCCAGTGTTCTGGAAGGTGGGGGGAGTTAAGCTAGACTCACTGATGCACCAACATTCTACTAGCTAGCAGCAAGTGCTTAGAGATTTCCTGCTCGTTTTACTATACTAGTGTTTTGGGTTATTTTTTTTTTCTTCATATTTTTATGTGCGTGAGTATTTTGCCTGCATATATGTCTGTGTACCATGTGTGTGTCTGGTGTCAACAGGGTTCGGAAGAGGGTTTTGGAGCCCCTGAAACTGGAGCTAGGGATGGTTGTGAGCCATCACATGGATGCTGGGAGCTGAGCCGGGTTCTCTGCAAGCGCAGCGAGTGCTCTCAGCAATCCACCCATCACTTTAGCGCTCTATTGGTATTTTTGTTAGTTCTTCTGAATGCCGGGGCATGATGCTTCAGAAATACATTGAAAGGTACCCTGCTTTGGTGGGGCAGTAAAGAGAACTATCCCTCTCTGGGAGACTTCCTTCTGAGGCAGGGCCCCACTAGATAGACCTCAGTATGTAGACCAGGTGAGCCTTGAACTCACAGAGACCTCCTATGCTGGGACTAGGGGCATATGTCACAACACCTGACCTCTGTGAGACTTTCTAAAAGTCACGTGTCAAAAGAACAAAGGTCCCCCACATTCCTCACCGTTCTAAGGCTTAGCTGCTTTAAGCTGATGCTAAGACACCTCTGAGCCATCTGGGGATCTAAATCACTGGGATTCCCCTGATACCTCCAGACCCGGGATCAGTGGACAGGGTTGCCTGGTAGAGCTTGAAGTGAAAACACCCAAGTCAACAGAGTCAGGCCACCACAGGAGCAGATAATGACTCATTAACACACCCTGCCTGCTTTATCATGGAAAGAAACAGGCACTCTTCTGGTCTAGGCCTGCCTGCCTACCAGGCCTTCAGATACAGGTATGAAAGGTACTCAGTTAAGAGCTGGAATCCTAGAGTTTAGACCCCTAAACAACCTTCTACTTTCCCTGGCAGTCAGCAGCCAGGGAGGGGAGGATTAGCTCTACAAAGATGCTGGTTCAGAGACCAATGCCCCAAGGGTGCCTGGCTTGCGGGTGAGGCCTGTGGGTTGGCTTGGCTTGTTTCTTTGCTCTGGGGTTTGGCTTCTGTGACTAGACTGTCTGCTTCCTCAGCCTGTCCACTTTGAGCAGGCTTCGCACACGGCTTGAATTTCAGGGTCTGAAGGTTTTCTAAGACCCATCCTGACCGAGGTAAACCCTGTCTTTCAAGATGTCTTGAAGCTCTTGGCTGTGACCTGTGCCAGCTCTCCTGTTCCAGTGTGTCATGTTATCCTAGTGTGTTTCCTGACTCTCACTGCAGAGCTGTGTTACCCTCAGCCTCAAACATGTGCTTGACACCGCATGAAGGGACCGGCAATGGGACGCTGACACAATCAAGAAAGACAAACGCATAGACTCATGAGTGTGTGAACGAGCCCGCAGACCAGGCGCTGGAAGACACGGGAGTCTAGACGGCGGAATTCCTCCACCTTACCTATCAGGATCACTGGTCTAACTCCTGAGTTACTCAGCAGGTTTTCAGGAACAATCACTGTTTCCCCTGCAGGGACAGGCCGAGGCTGGAGAATTCCAGTTAAGGGGGTCTGTGGAACTGGGGTAGATAAAAGGGGCTCTGGAAAGAAAAAGATTGTTTGACAAGAAAGATTAGGCATGGGCTAACTGGAAAACTTCAGAAGCCAACGCAGTTTTAATACTTTAGAAGTTTTAGATATCTAATAGTTTACTGTGTCTGATTTCTTTTTCACTAGTGTATTCATCGCAGAAAACTATAAGAAAAACAGAGCTAAGAAAACAAATCAACCACAATCATTTCACTGTGGATAATGACCACTGAGGATCTGGTGGCATCTTCTAAGCAATCTTTTGGATTTAGCTTTGTAATTCATGTTTATCATGCCCTAGTGAGCAAAATGTGGTTTTCTATTTTATAAGGCCGAAAACAGAAATACCATTAATCATTTCTACCTGGAAGCAAGTATGATAACATATTGCCATAGTTCTTTGCATATATGAGATTTCGATCAGTCTTTAAAACTAAGCAAATTAAAAAATGTAAAGACCCCTATGTAGTTCTTGGGGGTTAGAACACTTACTACTGTCTACCTGGTAGACTAATGTTTGAACACTTAGCTGTGGATACCTTTGGACACAGTCTGGATCGTATGAAGGAGAGACAGGCAATTCTCCATAGTATAGCTGTAGACTAAACCATGAAGCCAAAGTAACAAAAATGTCTCATACAGAGAATAAAGCTTAACGCCACTGCTAACAAAGCAAGTCTGCATGTGCCCTGTGGTGGTTGAGTTGTTAGCATCAGGCCCTATGCAACAAATGACTTAATCAATTACATGGCTAAAACTAAGATCAGTTGTAATAGTACATGCACTTATAGGGAAAGGCTATGGAGACAAAAATATTAACTACTATCAATACCCTTACACAATACTACTAATTACAATGATTGATTGAGGGCATTTATCTTCAAAGGATAAGGGCAGGAGTGCTAATTAAAGACAAAGCTTGAAATGCATCTTCAGTTAAAATCTCACCAGTTCTTGAAAGAGGACGGACTGTGGGAACAGGTACAACTAGAGAAGGCTGGGAGACGGGTGACCCAGGATGCCATCCCCGGTGTCGCTTCTTAGGTGGGCCAGAGATGAACATGTTAGCTGAAAACAAAGGGGAAACAGCTTTGTCCTCAGTGATGGGAAGACAGAAAGAATACCAAGGGGTCACATGGCCTTTCCTTTGTCTGAGTCACTGTCCTATGGGCAATGACAGTTAGGAAAAGTCACACTCGCAATCCAACACCATACTAACAATTGTAACCACATGCTGTTTTATATTTACAATTTTAAACAGATTGTTTAATTTGACTCTATTGACATCTCTGTTAAGTTGTGGGGCAAATCTTCTTGGTAAATGGAGAAAAAGTATCTCATGCCATGCAAATCTTTTCAGATATCGTTCTGTGCTTTGGTAAGTAAAAGACAGATGGGGTTTTCAAGGTTCTTCACTATAATTGATTAAACACTTACTCCCCAGTTAGGTTTATTCATGGAGAATCTCCAAGACATTTAACAGTTACTGTTCACCTCAATCATAAAATTTCAAAATGTTGTCTTTTAAGCAAAGGGAAGGCTCTACAGTGTGTGTTCCGGTAATTAATTGTTCAAAAATCTGTAGCACCGGGCTAAAGGGATGGTTTAGTTGATAAAGTGCCACCCAAACATGGGGCCTGAGGACAATCTTCAGAATCCATGTAAAAAAGCCAGGCACAGAGGCACACGCCTTTAAGATCGATGCCATGCAGACAAGATGATCCTGGGATTGCTGCCCAGCCAGTCTACTCCATCTGTAGGCTCTGGGCTCAGTGAGAGACCTTGTCTCAAAGGATCATGTGGAGAGCTATGGGGGAAGACAACTAATGTGGACTTAGGACTCCTCACATATGCACATAGTTCTCTCTCTCTCTCTCTCTCTCTCTCTCTCTCACACACACACACTGTACCTTGGTCTATGGATGTATAGCTAGGCCTTGGTGACAAAGTGTAGTTCCCAGGGCGGGATGGAGTAGAACTGGATGCACTACTCTTCCCTCCATGGCCACTGGTCCCATTTGCTGCTTCTGTAGAACCGAGGTTTGGAGGAGACTGTTAGTGAAGCAGCAGACATCTGGTAAACCTCACACTTGAGGATTCAGGGAAACTTCACTGACAGGACTCAACCCAGTTGCATAAAACCAACTAAGACTATCAGAGCAATTATCTTCATTAAACTTAACTGTCAGGCATGTCATTAGACTATATTTAAAAAGTTGATGTACCCAGGAAAAATTTTCTGGGACCCTGAGAAATCTTTCAGATTTAGTGCACATTCTTAACCACTGAGCCATCTCTCCAGCCATTTTTAGGTTTCCTTTAATCTAAAGTAATTTCTTTTAAAAATATTTCTTGTGATTGTTTTTCTTTGGAAAAATCTTGAAGAATTTGCTGGCCCACAGTTCCTAGTATCATTAATCATCCCTGTGTTCACTGTGTTTCCAATAAAGTAACTGTTAGAGGCTTGGTCTATTCATTTTTGGTCAAATTCATTTTTTTTTTTTTTGCAAAAGAATCTCAAAGACAGCTGTAAATGTCCACCAGGAGGCAAAGCAAAGAGTGGACAGTTTTCTCTCTTCTGAGGATATTAGACATGATTAGTAGGGGTTCAGAATTTCTCAGCTTCTTTTTCTTTTTAAAATTTCATTTTTAGGGTTCATGTGCAGTGACACTTGTCTTTAGTCCCAGCATTCAGGAGGCAGAGGCAGGTGGATCGCTATGAATTTGAGGTCAGCCTGGTATAAAAATTGAGTTCTAGGGCAACCAGTACTGTTACACATAGAAACCCTGTTTTGGAAAAAAAAAAAGTAAGTAAATAAATACATTTTCTTTTTCATTTTTAGTTATGTGTATTCATGCGGTTGTGCGGTTGTGCATATGCATATGGTAGCCACAGAGTCTAGAAGAAGCCGTTAGACGCCCTGGTCCTGGAGTTACAGGCAGTTGTGACCTGGCTGAGGTAGGTACTGGGAACCAAACTTCCATCCTTTGTTAGAAGCAGCATGCATTCTTTTTGTTTGTTTGTTTTGAGGCAGGGTTTCTCTGTGTAGTCCTGGCTGTCTTGAAACTAGCTCTGTAGATCAGACAGGCCTCAGGCATGCAGAGATCTGCCTGCCTTTGCCTCCCTAGTGCTGGGATTAAAGATGTGTGCCACCATCACCTGGCTAGCAGCATGCATTCTTAACTACTGAGCATAATTCTTGCATTATGAAGTCAACTGGATGATTTTAGTAACTCCCTTGATTACTGATCTATTACTTCATTATATTTCATCATTGTGATAACCTGAGTTCAGTTTGCTCATATTTAAAATCTAACTAGGAGATAAATAGCTGGGCTAGAGTGAAAAACAAGATGGGTTTTGTAAACTGTGATGTCTAACTTTTTGATCATGTCCCAAAAACGATAGACGCTCTGTCTTACCCATCCTTCTCCTTGAGCACAGGATTTTTCTAGGATTCTACCCTTCATTCATTGCCTGCCTCATCACATATCCTTCATGGCTAATATTAGCCTTGATGGTTTTACCGACATGTTGGTAGCTCCCCTCTATCCATCTATCAATAAATGACTGATGGACAGCTCCACTTACTGGGGCTCCACATGTCCATGTGATCCCCTCTGGGAGAGGCTGTTCCCCTTCCACAGTCCCTGTCTCAGGTGCTGGCATCATTAGTCCACAAAGACGGGTGTGGCTGAGTCACTTTCTCCTTCAGGAACACATTAATCTGCCAGGTCCATGTGATTTCATTTCCTGAGTAGCTCTCCATTTTGTCTTACTCCCCAGTCTGTTATCACTCTGGCTAAGGACCTCAGCACCTCACAATTAAACTAATGAAATCACCTTAAAGTATTTCTACTTCATGTCTCTTACACGCTACTGCCGAGAACGTCTGTTTCAAATTCAAACCAGAATAGGTCAGTTCTCTGCTCCACAAATTTATGGTAAAATCCATGTTTCTTGGCCTGCCTTCCTGTGACTGCCTTCTGCCACTTTGAGTTCTATATCTTATGTTTCAAGTCCAAAATGTAAGAAAGTTCTTACACATCTTATATTCTTTTTTCCGTTTCCAAGGACCCCTTCTCCTGTTCATTTTGTATTTATTTGTTTGTTTTTTTTTCAAGACAGTGTTTCTCTGTACAGCTCTGACTATCCTGACTCACTCTGTAGACCAAGCTGGCCTTGAACTCATAGAGATCCACCTGCCTCTGCTTCCTGAGTGCTGGGATTAGAGGTGTGCACCACACCAGCTCCTGGGTTCTTGTTGACCCTCTGCTGTTACTGGCATATGAACTCTCTTCCCTCATTTCTTTGGACAGTACCTACCTCCTCATCTTAAGACCAATCTCCTCCCAGTTATTCCTGAAATGCTAGCTACAGCACAACAAAAAGATCTTGTAAGCCTGTCACTTTCACTGGACTTAAGACATCTGGGGTCAGGCATTATTTTGTTATTATAACCTATTAGTCACAGCAGGAGCATAAGAAATATTTGTTGAGCAGAATCAAACTCTAGTCCTCTGTGCACTAAATAAATGTCATTAACTTTTCTGAGTGGAAGACAGACAGAGCTAAGTTTTGTCCAATATTGCATTATTTTAGGCGGTTTCATGCCATCTTAGACTGGCAGGTAGAAGGAGTGTCTGTTTCCAAACACTAATTTGTCAATTAAATTTCACACACGTCATTTGGTATTTAAAAAAAAAAAAAAAAGAAAAAAGAAAAAAGAAAAAAGGAAGGAAGACATCACCTGGAACAAACGTCTTTCCTACAACCTGCAAAGATAAAGGCAGTGGCTTCATGGCACTCTTATTCCAGGTCAGGTCCTGAGCGCCACTTAGGTTGATTGAAGAGCTAGCTGGACTGAGAGCCGGCGAATCTTGAAAATGAAAGAGGTTGTTTAAATTGGCAAGCCATTTATATATGCAGGAAGAAAGTTAATATGGCAGGGGCAAGCTGGGGGAAAGCAGGAAGGAGGGCTTAGCTTCTTCCTGGCATTGTTCAGAACTTTTAGAAAGGTCAATGTCTATGCATTCGGGGTTGATTAGTTTTTATTTAACAAACACACACTAGGAGTTGGGTGGTAGGTGCTACTGTAAGTACTTCAAATATATGAATCCACTTGATCCATGGAATACTTTAGTACTTTAGGTCAAACTCAGATGACCTGCCATTGGGATATCTATGCTCCATATTCAAATTATGTCCACAGTTCTTTCAAAAACGAGCTATACCTATCACTGTACAGATAAATCTCTCGTGTGTGTGTGTACATGCCCGTGCTTATATGCATCCACATGTGTATGAATACATATGTGCAGAAGTATGTGCATGTGCACATGTGTGTATGTGCATGTGCACATGTGTGCACACACATGTGGACATCAGAAGTCATGTCAGACATCTACCTCAATTGCTTTCCACTCTAGTTTCTGAGACAGGGTTTCCCTGTCTCATTGATTTGGTAAAACCGGCTAGCTAGTGATGTTTGCCTGTAATCTAAGTGTGTGGGAAGATGATGCGAAAGAGTTACAAGTTCAAGGTCAGTTAGCCTGGGGTAGGGGGTAACTCAAAAAATAAAATAATGGTGGGCTTTCCTACTGCCTGGCTTTCATACTGGCTGCTGAGGCGTGCAATAGCAACATGAATGTTACTGTGAGTTCCAGGACAGGTTCCAAAGCTACGGAGAAACCCTGCCTGGAAAAACCAAAATGAGTGAAAGAGCTGGGCGTGGTTATGCAAACCTTCTGTTTAGCACCTTGGAGTAGAAGGCAGGGGAGGGGGGGGATAGAAAGGGGAAGGAGAAGGGGGAGAAGGGAGAGGGAGAAGGGGGAGGGTGGGGGGGAGAGACTATCTGCAGAATGGGAGAAACCTTTGTAAAAGACTTATGCTCCAAATATATAAAGTCATCATCAATCTATAAAATCATAAACATCCAACTAAAAAGTGGCCAAATGAGTTACATAAGCATTTCTTAAAACACCCATGCCGTCAAAAAGCATATGGAAAACTGCTAAGCTGTGTGGCGGGGGCTCACGCCTTTAATCCCAGCTCTTGGGAGGCAGAAGCAGGTGGAGCTCTGAGTTACAGGCCAGTCAGGTCTACAGAGTGAGTTCTAGGACAGCCAGAGTTGCACAGAGAAACCCTGTCTCCAAAAAACAAAATAAAACAACAACAAAAAATAAACAAAAAGAAAGAAAATGACCTGCTAAACATAATTAGAAACTACAGGAATGGAGATCAAAGTTACAATGAATACTACTTCACCCAAGAACCCTGTACTGAAAGGACCTGGAAACACTGGCCCCTTGCATTGCTTATCATAGAATAAAATGGGGCAGGCTCGTTAGCAAACGGTTCCTCCCTTCCAGGGCACTAATGCAGGACCCAGCACTCTGCCAGGCATGAAAGGAAAGAAAGTGAAAAGAGAAACTGTCCACAAATGTTGTTGGCTGGGGACTGAACATACGGCCTATAAAGTCCTCCAGTCAGCCCCACCGGGATGCTGGTAAGACTCCACACTTTAATATGAACACTGGCTAACTGATAAATGGATGAACAAATTTCAGTTTGTTTAGACAGCAGGATGTTATTCATCAGGGAAGGAGTGCATCACAGCCATATGCCTCAAATGAGTCAAATGAAAGGAGCCAGTTCATAAATGTCAGTAAAATGCCCAGAGCAGAGAATCAGCAGAATTCAAGCAGTCGTGGTCCAGTGGTTAAGGTGACGGACTAGAGAATCAGCAGAAACATAAGGCAGACAGACCTGAAGCTGCTTGTGGGTGGGGAGGAGTTAAGTAAGTACTGTGAGGATTCTCCTCTGGGTGCTGACACACTGTACTGGATATGGTGGTGCACTGAGGCAGGAGGATCAAGAGTTTCAGACAAGCCTGAGCTTTATGGGAGATCAAGTACCGATAACTCACTACATCCATTGACTTGCAAACTTATAATGACTGAATTGTACGAAATGTATGAATTGTATTGAGTTATACCTCAATATCAATAAAACCATTATTCAAAAAGGCTGCAAGTACTTTCCCAATATAAATAAACCTTTAAAAAAAGAAAAAAAAGTGCTGTAAGTAAAATTATAAGGCAAATGAAACCCATGTAAGGGACAGCATGGACAACAGACTCCAGGAAGAAAATGGCTACTGCTTGTTGCCCCTGTATCTCACTGGTCCACCTTCAACATCAGCGGGGCCTCCAGTGGATAGTGCCCTGTTGATGGGAGATGTCATTATGTATATATGTTTCTCATTCTGGTTAATGAATAAAGACTGTTGGCCAATAGGAAAGGAAGATAGGAGGGACTAGGAGACAAGGAGGAAATAGGAAGTAGGGAGGAGGAGCCAAGATGGAGTCTGGAGAGAGCAGCAGCTGGCTCCGGGTAAGAAGACCACATGGAAATACATAGATTAACACAAATGGGTTAATACTTAAGACAGAGCTAGCTGATAAGAAAGTAGTAACTGGCCAACAGTATAATATCAAATACAGAGTCTCTGTGCATTATTTGGGGCTGGCGGCGTGGCGGCAGGACAAGACCAGCGGCGGGTGGAAAAACCATACACCTTTACACCCTGTGAACTCACTCTCTTGGAGAAAGACTTCTACAAGTTCACATCTGGTTTGTCCAGCTTTTTGTCTCTGAGCCTTCTTCAAGACCATCAAGATCCCTGAACCCTGTAAACCAGTCCAGAAATCTGGGGGAGTATAATGCTTCAGAAGTTAACTACCTCAGGGAGCAGAGGCCTCCTGCTTTAAGAGGCCATACTGGAAGGTCTTCTGCATGCTTCCTAGTGAATCTGATAGACTCGGACATTCCTGGGTTAGAACAATCGCATAGAAAACTCTCACACGCTGGCCTACTCCTGCTTCCAGGGGTCATTTCCCGAATAAACTACAATACTCACGTTCTTATCTTAGGTTCTGATTCTATTGGGATCAAAACCATATCAATAGTTTTAAAAAGAAAGGCCAAAATATACAAGTAGTCTTTATAGAAAAGTTAAATAGTTTAAGAGATTCAATGTCGATAATAGGGAAATGTTAAGTCAAAACCACACTCAGATAGCATTGGTACCTATCAGAGTGGCACAAAACCAGAGGTTTCCATAATAATTCCTGTTAGCACTTGTGCAAATACAAACTGCCATGATGCCCTGGAGACTGGATCTATGGGAATCATGAATGAGCACATATTTAGCCCAGCAATTTCTGGACATTGATACACAAGAAAGAAATGATATGTGTGTTGATGTTACTCATTGCTGAATCATCAGAAGCAATGTAAACACCCTCCAGTACAGGGCCCGTGAAATAATTATCGTATGCCTGGGGAGCATGAGAATTCACTGCTCTAAAAACCAGTGAGGAAGCTCTCTGCCTGGAAAGACCTCTCAGACATAGCACCATGAAATCGAGAGATTCAGGCAATGTTTAAAATCTGCTGCCTTTAGTCAAGAAGACTCTGTATTTGTGCTAGTTAACAGATATAAAAAAAACTTCTAGAAAGATGTCTTACTCCTTTTGTATCAGTGTGAACAAACGCATAGGAGCAACTTAAGGAGGAAAAAGGTTATTTTGGCTCATGGGTTCAGTCCATCACACTCCAGCTTAGGAAGCACATAAGAAACAAATTGTTGTGATTATCTGCTTGCAGCCAGGCATGTAGAAACCAGGTGGTATGGAATAGAAACTTACTATACACATATGGATGAAGTATATATGTTCACATGTATAAACACATACACACAGGTGTCTTAGTTAGGGTTTCTATTGCTGTGGTGAAACACCATGACCAAAGCCCAAAGCAAGTTGGGGAGGAATGAGTTCATTCAGCTTAAGCTTCTACATCACAGTTCCTCATCAAAGCAAGTCAGGACAGGAACTCATACAGGAAAGGAACTTAGAGGCAGGAGCTGATGCAGAGGCCATGGAGGGGAGCTGCTTGCTGGCTTGCTCCCCATGGCTTGCTCAGCCTGCTTTCTTATAGAACCCAGGACCACCAGCCCAGGGATGGCTCTACCCACAATGAGCTGGGTCTTCCCCATTGATCATTAGCTAAGAGAATGTCCTGCAGGGTTGCCCACAGCCTGATTGTGTAGAGGCATTTCTCAGTTGAGGCTCTCTACTCTCTGATGACTCTAGCTTGTGTCAAGTTGCCATAAAACCAGCCAGAACAATAGGTATTTTTCAAACTGTTAAAGTTTCAGAACAATAGAGTAAATTATTTTAATAAATAATGACAAAAAAAATGCTCATATGTAAGTTGACAACTGGTATCAGAAGTGTTTATTACATTTACAAAGTGGAAACTTACTTTAATATTGAGTTACACAGTGCTTTGTTTAAAAAAAAAGACTTATTTTTTATTTTATGTGTATGTGTGCTTGCCTACATGTATGTTTGTGCATCATGTGTATGCTGGTGCTGGAGGAAGCCAGAGGAGGGATTCAGGTTGCTGTGAGCTGCCTCTTGTGGGTACTGCAAACTAAACTCTGGTCTCCTGGAAGACTCTTATATGCTTTCTAACTGCAGAGCCATCTCTCCAGGCTCTGATTTTAATTTCCTGCATACATTAATTTATTTATTTTGTGTGTGCACACCCATGGGCACATGCCACAGCATGCATATGGAGGACGTCTGAGGACAGAAAACTCCACAAACGAGGAGGTAAAAAGAGTTTAACAGCCAGAGGGGATGAAGGACACCAGCAGACAAGGCCCTCTAGGTAAACTGAGCAAAGCTCGTATGAACTCGCAGAGACAGAGGCGGTATGTATGTACAGGGTCTGTACAGGTCCTGTTCATGTACATTACAGTGTCCAGTTTAGTGTTTTTATAGGACTCCTGAGCGAGGGGACAAGTGGGCCCCTGATTCTTGCCTTCTCTTGGCTCCTTTCCTTTCGTTGGTTTGCCTTGTCCAACTTTGATTTGATGGGTTTTGTTTTAGCGTATTCTATCTTATTTGATTATGTTTGCTTGAGACCTCTTTTCTCGGGGAGTGGATCCAGGTAGCAGGAAGAAGGTGGGAAGGAACCAGGAGGAACAGAGGGAGGGGAAACTGTAATCAGGATATACTGGATGAGAAAAGAATATTTTTTAAAAAGGGAGTAAAAGAAGAACCACACTTACGTTTATCATCTCCAAGTTTCCTGGTGCCTCTGTATAACCCCTCCCTCCTGCCTTCTCATTGGTGCCTCTGTATAACCCCTCCCTCCTGCCTTCTCATTGGTGCCTCTGTATAACTAACTCCTCCCTCCTGCCTTCTCATTGGTGCCTCTGTATAACTAACCCCTCCCTCCTGCCTTCTCATTGGTGCCTCTGTATAACTAACCCCTCCCTCCTGCCTTCTCATTGGTGCCTCTGTATCACTAACTCCTCCCTCCTGTTTTCTTGCCGTCAAACAGATAGATCCCTGGAGCTTGCTGGTTGGGCAGAATAGCCTGCTCAGATAAGACCAGGGCAGCAATAAAACCCTGTCTCAAAAGCACTCAAGGCTGTTCGCTGTCCTTCATTCTTACATATATGATGAACGCTGATAAGAAATCAGTAAAATGTAGACATCTGTGTATTTAGCTTAATTCTGAGTTCTAGATGTTTAAATTATGAAAATATGTGGTAAAATTAAAAACAAAACAAAACAAAAACAAAAAACAGAAACACATGTACCAAAATCTCAGTTTTTCATGAAAAAACTTTGACTTTTTCTTAAGCACACACTGGTCTGTGTTCTCAACCTTCCTAATGCTGCGATCCTTTAATACAGTTCCTCATGCTGTGGCTACCCCTCCCCCAAGTTATTTTCATTGCTACTTTATAGCTGTAATTTTGCATCTGTTATGAATCATAATATCAATACCTGACGTGTACAATGTGATATGTGACCCCTGTCAGGCCACTGGGCCCCAAAGGGATAGAGACCCACAGGTTGAGAACCACTGATACAGGTCATCTTTGGAAACGGTATAATAAAAATAATTGTTTCAGTGTGACCTGTCAAACATTTTCAAAATGCTAGGTGCTATGCTTGGCAATGAGATACAATGTCAAAAAATACAAGGACACAAGCCTACTCCTAGGTTGTTTACAGAAGAAAACAAAACAAACAAACAAAAAGCAAAAGAGGCCACATGGTTTCACTATCTGGTAAGCAAGTGGGCAGATATGCTAGCCAAAATGTAACCCCACTTGAAGAAAGGTCCCTGGGCAGGGAAGGACATTTGGCACACAGGGGGGACACATTTAAAGCAGATTGGGAGAAGCCTGGCTACCTCTCGGGTCAGCCAAATGACGTTTGCTCACACACCCTGCTTGCTAGACAGTTGCCAGGAGGGGCAGAGGAGTCCAACGCACAGGGGTTTTGGGGCAAAGTGATGACTCTGTGATAAGGGGGGCTCAGTTGGATGCAGGGAGTCATGAACCATTTGGACACTTAAAACATCAGCAGAGCCCTGAACAGGAGGCAAAACAAGGGGGTCAAGAAGTACAGGAAGGAGACAGATACTCCAGCACTGGACGGCGGAGGAGGCAGACCTCCAGTCTAGTCTATAGGGCAAGGTCCAGGGCAGCCAGGGTGACACAGAGAAACCCTGTCTAGGACTGACTACCAGCCCCCTCAAAAAGAAATCATATCTGGGTCTGCTCAGTGTAGACTCCTTACATTTTTTTTAATTGTTTGCATGCATGTGTGTGTATAATCCGTGTATGTATAAGAATCTTAGTCTATACCTAATGTTTGCCATGATACCATAATGCTACCAGGAAGTTCTTATAGCCTATTCCATTCGCTCTGTGTCAGAAGGAGTAATAGTTGGTTCATCTACACACATAAATGGATCGGTATGAAAATCTTTAATATGACGCCTTATAGAGAAGCATTTTCTTCTAGTAAACTATCTGGATTGTACCTAACCCTGCTAACAACGAGTTTCATGGCCAAATTACCTTGTACACTCCCACACAGGAACACTGAAATGACATTTGGTCACTTGTGCCTACTATGAGTCAGTCAGTCTCTCCTTCCTTGCTTATATCTCCTCGTGGCTCTGGGGGGTCCTTTGCTAAAGCCTGAATCTTTGCAAAAGACTGATTTCTTCTTTCATAACAAAAACATGTTTTCAAAATATATTTCCTGGTATGATTAAGATTATATTAGTGCTTATGACATTTTAATATTTTTTTATTATTTTCGGGGACAACTTGTTATTTATACATCTAGCCTACCTTGTAATAAAGCTAGCATGGTTTATTGTTCCTTAATCCCTTCTATTAGTGGTTTTAAGTCATGGGAGTTGTTAGTCAGGTATTGGAACCCTGCCTCACAACATCTGATAAGGTTCTTGGAACATAATAAACACTTGATATGGATTTATTGCAATGAAGTAAATGTCAATTTTAACATTATAGTTTTAATATTTTATTATCTCCAAGGTCTAAGGACAGATAACATACCATAAACCCATCAAACAACTAAAATAATAATCTGGGACAGCCATGTAGGCACATTACTGACGCAATGAAGGCTAGCCTTTCAATGTCAAGAACCAGATACCAACTTTTTCCTTTCCTGAACTGCTAGACACAGGGTGCTCTTTTGTGTATTTTAGAAACAGTCTCTATCTCAATATCCTGGATAGCTTGAAAGTTAGACATCTTTATTCAGGATCAGGCAGACTTTGCTGAATACGGGCCCAGGGCAAGATACATTCTGCTGAAACTTATCTCATACTTGTATTGCTGTGGACATATTCTAATACTCACTTGCATCTTACAAAAAGTACAGTTTATTAGCTCATGAGAAGTGTGTATAAGGTTTGAAAGCAGCAAGGTACATAGCTAATGAAGACTCCTTGCTTTGTTTTGTTTTAACCTGTGGTGGAGCAGACATATGTAAAGACATGTAAAGCACATATGAAGTTTATATATCAGATGGATAAAATGCTGCAAACAAGGGAAACTTTAAAAAAGAATTCATATTCTTCTTCATATACTTCTTGCCTAAGGCCTAACCATGTCAATTCTGAGTAGTTTTCTCAAATAATCAACAACTCATCAACCTGCAGCAGGGACCACTGGGTTCTGCCTGAGGTCTTATCCTCACTTGAGGTCCTTCTAGGTCCTTCCAGACGGTTAGAGAGCTGGCCCAGTGGCCAGTTCGTTCCCCGTCTAATCAGCCAGCCATTCCGCTGGCCCAGCTTTGATAATGTACTCAAGGCTTCAAGCACTAAGATTTTTATCTACTTATTTGCAACTGAGCTGCAATCTCATAGCATTGTAGATCCTGGGTTCATCCATTGTGGTACACAATCCACCCAGCAGCCTTGTCTCTCTTGAGTCATCTCCCCTTTGGAGGGCCTTGCTTTCTCGGGATCCTCTGTCTCCTCTGGCTCTTAAATTCTTTTGCCTCCTCTTCTATGGGGTTCCCTGAACACTGAGGGGAGGGGTTTGAGTCATCTCAGGGTTTAAATGGAGGTCTAGCCTAGGATTCTAGTCTTCATGAGTGTGTCCCAGTGTGTGCTACCCCACAGCTGTGTCTGATTTCCACACACTCTTGCTGTCCCTGGCATCCCATTCTATGCTAAAGCTAAGTTTTCTGCCAACTGTCAGTTCTTGTCTCCGTGCACTACTACGGTGGACTGAGACGTAAACCCTGGTCCTGCAGAGACTATCTTCTCAGTGCTGGGCTCTAAGTATAACAGCAACTCAAATGGCATCTTAATAACACCCAGATAGTATTTTATTTGAAAATGTCTCACTCAAGCCAGCTAAGCAAGCTTAAAGAGGCTGCCTTAAACACACCTGTGGTCCTTGCAGTAACAAGAAGCCATTTCATACCTGTCGGAGTGAAGCCCGCTTTGTATCCGTTAGCTGCTACATTTTCTGGAGCCACAGTTGATGACACTGAGGGAATAGGTTTAGCGGAATGGCAAACAGCAGAGGATTGTCGGCTTCTACATTCTAGAAGGGAGTAAAAACACGATTTGAAAAAGCTAGTTTATATTTTAACTGACCATGGGCACAAGTTTCTGATTCTTGAGTGGCAGCAGCTTTCCTAATTACTGTCTCTAGCAGCCTGTTCAGGCTGGTAAACAGTTCTTCCTAAGCCAGATGTTATGCTTAAGGCAAAGAACAATCACAATTTTATGACCCACAGATCAGTTCCCACATGAAAAGTGCCAATAACCAACACAGTCTTGCTAGTTTTACGGGGAAGACAGAGGTTAAAGTGTCAATATTTATAGAAACGTATTGAGCTTTTGGGATGCCAGGTAACTTCTTGTTCATAATTTATTTAAATGTGCAATAGTAACTTTAATCCTTCTAGTTTGCTTCCAGACTTTTCTACTCTATCTGAACAAATATTCAAACATCAGAGAAATAAAAAAAAACTCTATAGATAAAGATAAAAATTAGAAGCAAATTATTATTATTCTTGGTTCTTATATTTTGGTTGTGAGTCTAGCCTTCAACGGCTGAGCCAACCCTCCAGCCCTATTCTCAGATCCCATTAAAGAAAACTGGTAAGTGGTATTCAAAGCGATTATTGATAATGCAGTGGCTATCTTTACACTAAGTATCTGATATTAATGACTCTAATTACATTGTGTACTGACTCAGTGAACACTGTGATAGTCTCTTGGACTCCATGCTCCAACTAAATTATGCTATTATTAGTCTCAAAAAGTAGCATGTGAAATAGAAATAGAAATGGTTATATGACAGGTTACAAGTTCTAAGAAAAAGTTCCCGTGGGAATGAGACATTTGCAAAGGCTGAGAGCAGTTTTGCTGAAGCATGCTGCACTATGCTATGACCTTCTGAAAAGTGGCTGTGTTCTGGCATAAATTTAACATCAACCTATGCATTTTGTATGAATATATGCATATTGATATTACATGATTTTATACAGGTAAATAGCACAAAGTCAGTTCAAAAATAAAAACTGCTGCATGCAGCTACTTTAAAAAATGGCCGGTGAGGTGACTCAGAGAGCAAAGGTGCTCACCATGAAGCCTGACACACAAGCTCAGTCCCTGAACACACACAGTGAAGACAGACAATAGACTCCCACAGGCTGACCTCTGGCTTTCACATGTGCTGTGGTGGCACACACACACACACACACACACACACACACATCAATCAGTGTACAAATGTTATTTTTCATAACAAAGATGAACTCTCTTAGCACCAAGAAGTTAAGTGTATCTATACAAGCTAAGGTTAAAAAAAGTTAAAAGGCAGAGAGATATTTATCAAGCTTTTAGTCTTTATTGGGGTTTATGGTTATTCAAGAAGGCCTACTAGAGGAAAACTCTTTACCCTCAGCCAGGATAAAGAGCTATGGAGACATTCTTAAGAATTCAGTGGTTGTGAGAAGGAAGCTCTGATGACAGTGGCTTGGAAAATATGCAGCGTCTTTTCCTGGGGTGTTATACAAGGCCGCCTCAAATGTGGCCAAGAGTAATTATGGTGGGGGACTCAGGGACAAATGTGCTATTGCAATTCAGACGTATTATGCTATTCCACAGTCAGGCAAAAGTCTTATGTAGGCAAGAAGGGTAAAGACAATTATTCTATGGAGAATAAATTCTCAGCGTCAGAAGAAACTGCTTTAGGACAGTGGCTACAACCATGGTGATTCCCACCAGGTTCATGAGGGGGCTACTTCCTACAGAGTAGTGGGCTAAACTGTCGCTGATTCCAAAGAAAGGAAACTGCCAACTCACTACCCACTCCCCTAGACACCCAGAAGGCTGGGTTGCTTATTTGGGGTGTGTTTTTGGTAGAAATAGAATAGAAAAATGTAGATTGGTGAGAATTACAAACCAACTGAAATAAAGCAAAGAGCACACTTTACACTCGGAAACGAAAAGACACCAGAAGCGAGTTTCCCAGCCCCAGAGCCACACGCTTTCTCTGCCAGTAACTCTAGAGACTTGCTCTTTCCTATCGCTCAAATGCTTCAGTTAATTCTAACAAGGGACAGTCTCACACAACCTCCCAAAGGGCTTTGCAGTTTTTGAGCAGCCTTTTGAACTTGAGCTATTTATCCATCCCACACCTGTACTCTGAACCCTGCCAGGGTCACCAGCCGCCACCTGGGAGTCTCCTTCCCCTCCCCCCGGAATCCCGTTACCTTTCCAGCAGATGAGCGGCCCCTTTGATAACACACCCTGGGAGGTTCTGACGAGGTAGTACTTCAAGTGCTTCTGCTTCTTTGGCTGGGTGGTGAGCTTCAAGTTAATGTGGTTGGAAAATTCCGTGAAATATCGAAATCCTCTTTCTCCACAACCAATACAGTTTCCAGAAAACCCTGAAATGGGAAAAGCCAACGTTACTAGTGTCCTTGGAAGCTGATACACTACTTCTGAATGTAAAAAGGATAAAAATATTCATAGTCTATGAACCAAGAGTGTCTCAACTTTTAGGAAAAACTTCAGAAGGATGGAAAAACAGCAAGAATAAGATTTTGCTAGAACCCCACACCCCAACTCTCACCCCATCCTTCCTCTTCGATTTTAAATTCTTCAGATACAATTGCAAAGAAATCAATGCTTGTTAATTGGTACTCCGTGTTCAAAAGAATCAGGAAGTTTAACACTGCTTCAATGCTGTTATTTAACAGAAAATTCACAGTCAAATTGTAACAACAGCAGAGACATTTTTATAACATTAGAAGACTGGAACTAAGTTAAGTGTTACTATAACAGGACAATGGCTAAGAAAATGGAGGAAAAAGTATCATGTGGCAGAATTATATAGTAGATACAGACAGGAAAATCGTCTGGGGGGCTGAGGAGTACAGCTCAGTGACAGAATGCACAGCTGTGTGTAAGGCCCTGAGTTCCAGCACTGGGAAAGGAAGGAAAGGAGGGAGGAGGGGGAAGGAAGGGGAGAGGGAGGGAGGGAGGGAGGAGGGAGGAGGAGGAGGGAGAGAGAAAGGGGGGAGGAAGGCAAGGGAGGGAAAATGAAGAGAAAGAACTTTTTGTCCTAAAGCTCTTCAGTCTGTTCCTTTCTTAAGAACATGCTGAGGAGAGAATAATGGGTAAATGTCAGAGAATATCATATACCTAATGAAAACAGCTTTATGAAACTCGTCTCTTTATATAATGAGTAAAGAATAATAAAACTTTAGCTTAAAGTATCACTGTATAATTGTTCATTACTTAAAAAAAACTATTCAATCATTAAATATCTGCTTTGAATCATTCCAAAGTCCTTTTTTGTTCTTTCTCTTTTTTTAAAGAGCCTATGGGTCCTACTATTGGTTCTCTGCATGCTTCAACACAGCAGCTTGTCCCCAGAGACCTACAGCCTATGCGTGAATGTATGACAAATATCTGATCCAATATGGAACAGTTAGAATCTCCCTTGTAGAATTTTATCTAGATGGTACCGGACCCTAGATTTACAAGAGTTTGTAAATTGGAGCCCATATGTGGTTTGTCTTAACTACAGGTGAGCGCTGGTTTTGGAGAGAATAGGCTGAAAGCTGTGACTGGGACACACGTGAGCAGGAGGGACAGGACAGCATGGGCAGAGCTGTGACTGGGACACACGTGAGCAGGAGGGACAGGACAGCATGGCCAGGGCTGTGCCATGCTGAGCTCTGCCAGACACTTCTGTTCCTATGAGAGTTAGGCATGGCTCTATGAACTCCCATTTCCTCTTTTCACCTGAGCTTCTTAGTCTCTCATACCAAATGCCGAGCCAAAGCCCTTGAACCAATAAAATAAAATAAACTCTCAATGGCCTGGTTGGAGCAGACGTGGAAAGAGGAAGTGGAGAAGAGGCTGGGAGGATAAGAAACTATGCATTGCTTTATGGAAAGTCAGCTGTTAGCCCCTTTAACCCACAAAAGAAGGAAAGGCCAGTAAGACAGTGAGTTGCTTCACTCATATCTGATGAGAACGGAACTTACAGACAGACATACAGATGGCCAGGACAGGAGGAGAAGACAAAGGGCCCTGCATCCCGTGGAAAGACCATGTACCTGTCCACAATATCTGAAAACATGACCATTGACAAACTACACCGTTTTCAAACCCCTGGACCAACCTAGAATATATTAACAAGGATAAAGGGGAAAAAAGAAAGGATAAAGGACAAAAAGAATTATTTTACAATATCTCTATTGAGAATACCAGTAATTCAAAGCATGTATAAGCAGGATCCTCAAGTTATTACTGTAACAATCATTTCCTGAACACCTCCCAGTAAATACGGAAGGAAAATGATAAACAAGAGGTGACCACAACCTCTGCTTAATTACATAGAATTAGCAGTTTATTTATGTCATCTTTTTCAAGTACTGAACATTAATATAAACTTTTAAATGACAGGGAAGGATTGTGTTAGAGACTATTTGCACATTTCTCAATTTGTTGAAGCTGTAGGCCAATAACAATAAATAAAAAAAATCAATGAATGTCTAGTTCACTAAGTTCCTACAGTCATCCATCCATCAATCCATCCATCCATCCACCCACCTATCTGTCCATCCACATCCATCCACCCACCCACCCACCCATCCATCCATCCATCCACCCACCCACCCATCCATCCATTTATCCACCCATCCATCCATCCATCCATCCAATCATCTGTCTGGCTGTCCATTCAACCATTCTCCCATTTGGTACATGAATGAAAGGGACCGTCCCTTATAATTTCTCTGACTCCATGTCATAGTTTACCTGATTTTTATTACACAGTAGTCTGAATAAATACTACTGAGCAAAGAAATGAACAAATAAATGCTCAGCCCTTCTTTGTTAATTTACTACAATGAATGACATTTACCATTAGATTTCTGTATTAAATAATTTGCTTAATTTCATTGAAATAAAAAAAATGAATGCTTTTTTTGGAGGGGGTTGGTACTGGGGCACAAATCTAGGGCCTCTCTTACTGAAGTACACCTCCAGTTCTCATTTTGTTGACAAGGTCTCACTATGTAACCCAGGGTGAGCTTGAACTCTTGATCTGCCTGCTTTACCTTCTGTGCTGGGGTGATAGAAATGTGCAACTGTGCTCAGCAGGTATTTTTCGACACTTCTGAAACATGAAAATGACCAATGGATGTTAACCAATACAGGGCTCTGAACTATAGGAAGCAGAGGCAAGGGGACCTCTTGTGAACTCAAGGCATACAGAATGAGTTTAAAGGCAGTCATGCCACACAGAAAGAAAGGCTGTGGGTAGGGAAGAGCCTCTATATAGCATGTTTAGGGTCACTTTCTGACTCGAGATATTGACTAATGTTTTTCAAGTCTTTCTGATATTGTATGGCTGCACAAAACTAAAACAAAAATAAACTCACAATCAATACGGTAGCTTAATTTTTTTGTCCTCTTTCTTTTACTGATATCTAAAGAAATGGTTCCATCTAAAGAAAAGGAATTCTGAGAAGTAACACCTCCAGAAAAACACGGCAGTAAAAGAACAACAAAGCTCATATATCTAGTTTTCTTTTATCACAAAACAAATAAAAAAACAGATAGGTGTGGTGTTGCACACCTTTAATCCAGTACTATGGAGGCAAAGGTAAGTCTTGATGAGTTTGAGACCAGCCTGTTCTCTATAGCGAGCTCCAGGCCATCCAAGTCTACATAGTGAGATGCTGCCTGTCTTAGGGTTACTATTGCTGCAGTGAAACACCATGACCAAAAGCAAGTTACATTTCCACACCATGGTCCATCTCAAACCCTCCAGGGCGGGATCCTGGAGGCAGGAGCTGATGCAGAGTCCCTGGAGGGGAGCTGCTTACTGGCTGGCTCTCCATGGTTTGCTCAGCCTGTTTTCCTATAGAACTCAGAACCACCAGCCTAGGGAAGGCACCACCTACAATGGGCTGGGCCCTCCCATTAATCACTAATTAAGAAAATGCCCTTTCCAATGATCTTATGGAGGCATTTTCTCAATTGAGGGTCTGTCCTTTCAGATGACTCTAGCTTGAGTTGACATAAAACTATCCAGTACCCTGTCTCAAAACAAGACAATAATAAAAACAACCAAAACACCAAACCCACTTTCTTTCCTCCTGGTGTAGTATAGTTATGTTGTGGAAAAGCCAAGGTTCTAAGCCACGCCAGAAAGTAAAATAATTCTGATGTTGTTACATGTTTCATAGCATTTATATATCCCTAGTTATTTTAGGTGAATTGATAAAATGAGAAGTATCTGTTAGTTACCTTTCTTGTTACCATGATAGACTGATGACAGAAATAGCATAAGCTAGGAATGGTTTATTCTGGCTATGGTTCAAGAGATACAGTTCATCGTGACAGGAAGGAGTAGACTGCAGCAGCTCCTGTCTGGAGGTGAGGAGTGTGAGGCACCTGGTTACATTGTAGCAGTCCTGCAGCCAGGCTCCTAAAGGTTACACACTCTCAGGACAGCACTACCCGGTATGAACCAGCGATCAGGCACAAGGGCCTGCTGGTGATAGTTTAATATAACTTTTACTGGGTTCTATGACAATTTCATATATATATATATATATATATATATGTATATGTATATGTATATGTATATATATATATGTATATAGTGTATTTGGGGGGCTGGAGAGATGGCTCAGCGGTTAAGAGCATTGACTGCTCTTCCAGAGGACCTGAGTTCGAGTCCCAGCATCCACATGGCAGCTCATAGCTCCAGTTCCAATGCACATGAAATAAAATAAATTATTAAAAAAAAAATAACATGCATTTTGATTATTAAGCTCCTCTTTAGTCTCCCTCATGTTGAAGACATTTCACATTCAAACTAATCATATCTGTAAGGCATAAGGTAGTATTGAAAATTTGCAAATACTTTACAAAGTGAATAATTCGAAAACAACTGAGAATTGACATCGGGTTTAGACTAGTGGATATACAGAATGACTTTCACTTTATTCAATAAAATTCAAAAAATTTTTACATGGCTAAGGATGAAGTTGAGATCATTACACGTGCTAAACAAATACTCTACACTTAGACCTAAACTATTAAATTTTGATAAATTGCATGCTTTTTAATTGTCTTAAAAATTTTTGCATGTCTAATTTTTAATAATAAAAATGTAAAATATATTTAAGAGAAAAAATATTTGCTGTTTGAAACTAAGCCATTTAAACTCCAACTAAATTCAGTGACATACTTATAAAATTCTCTCATAATTTCCAATAAACATATATTTCAATTCCCTCCTCCTGGAAGAAGTTTTATAGACATTAAACACTCACCTAAAAGTGCATTTTTCCCATGGTCATCTGGTAGAAATCGCTTGTCCACAGCACAAACTAGGATATGTTCAGGAAGATTGGGAGACTTGGCCCCCACCAGGAGGAACCCCGCTGGAATGTCAATTTGTTCCATACACAGTGACACCAAACGCAAATCCTTTCCCGCTTGACAAAACCCTGAAAAACAGCACAATTTTAGGGAAGACAACATCTCCTTATCCCCCATTGGGAAAGTAGAGTTATCTATGGGAATCACTTCTAAGGATTCAAAGCCCATATACCCCAACAAGACTAATCTATCCTCTCCTTTCTGGTTCCATTAAGATGAGAGCTCAAGTTTTTTGGCCCACAAGTAAGGCAATCACAAACATAACATACATCATATACATTTTATGTGCACATTGTAAGGATTTTACATTCTGTGTGTGTGTGTGTGTGTGTGTGTGTGTGTGTGTGTGTGAAGACATGTGAGTGTAAATGTGTGTGTTCAGGAGCCTGCAGAGGCTAGAGATAGTGTCAGCTGTGCTCCTCAGCTGTGCTCCACAATTGAGTGCATCAATCTGGATAGGATGGTGGTGATTAGTTTCAGGGATCTGAATGTCGTCTCTTACTCCCCACCAGTATGGCAGGCCCAGATACTCGCCATCTTTTTTACAGGTGCCGGGGATCTGAACTCAGGCCTTCATACTTGCAGCACACGGCTTTACCAATGACCCACGTCCCTAGCTTATTTCCCAGGCCCCTCCCCCACCCATGGGACCAGCTCACAACCACCTGTAACACCAGCTCCAGGGGTTTGACACCATCTTCTAGCCTCAGGCATATATAACTCCCACACAGATATAGGGAATATACAATTTAAAGTAAAATGAAAACATTTTAAATTATAAAATACTAAGCCAGGAAGCACTTTAAATTACTGAAAGGAGTGTCAAGATTGCTCATCAAAGAGATCACTAATTGACAATAACCCTAGAATACAATTCGCCTAGGAAGTGGCATTCTTGCCCTTAAGTATGACTTGCTTCAAGAATTGGGACGTTAACCACGTTGCTAACCTGCATGGATTAACGATCAGTAAGACGCTTATGACTGGCTATTCACTGAGCTATCTCTGGGAGCTGCCTCTGTCAGGCTGAAGCAGTGAGTTTCGACACATGTGACTCTGTATTGGGTACAGATGGCAATCTCAGTCTGTATCAATTTTACTGCAATGTGGTTAGAACATTATAGTTCTACAACACCTTGAGGCTGGGATTAGAGGGAGGGCTCAGCGGTTGCGAGCACTTGATGCTCATGCAGAGGACCATAGTCTGGTTCCCAGCCCCCATCCAGGTGGCTCACAACTGCCGGTAACTCAGCTCCAGGCATCCGACACTCTAGTCTGGCCTCTGTGGCCTCATGAGCACATATTAACACACATACAAACATCTTAAAAATAAAATAAATCTTAAAGGACCCAAACCTAACCTTAAGGCACCATTGCATTGTTGCTTAATAAGTGGCTTTCATTAATTCAGGGATTCAGAAGGACAGTCTAAGACACTTAGGATTTATATGTGAAATTCATTTTTAATGTGTGTGTGTGTGTGTGTGTGTGTGTGTGTGTGTTATAGAGGCTGCACACGTGCCACAGCAGGCATGTGGGAACTAGAGAACACCATGCAGTTCCTTCTCTCCTGACCATGTTCACATGGATTCTGGGAAACAAACCCATGTCATCAGGGCAGCTGTGCAAGCCGTTGCACCAGAGGCGCCATCTCACTGTCCTAATTTTGTATAAGGGAAATCTAAATAGGCATCATTACCATTTCCTAAAACTTGTTTATTGTAATTCCCAACCTTAAGAACAGTGTATGGCCTTCTTCCAGCATACACAAAGTGAGTAAAACCAGCAAGATAGCTCATAGCTCATAGCTCATAGTTCAAAGCCCATTGTCAGTGTGTATGTAGCCTTTACTATTACTCAATTTCACATTGTTTTCAGCCACATCGATACGCTGTTTAATTCCTATGTGTAATGGGCTGCTGTTTAAAGTTGGGAGGCTCAGGCAATTATAGACAGGTAGTTTTGATAATGCACCCAAATATGCTCATTGGGCATATAAAGTTGAATTTCTTCTCACCCTTACTGACTTAGACACCTCCCCTTCAATAAGGAGCCACCGGCAGCTGATAGCTGCTGGGGGAGGGAGGGTCTTTCTTTTGTGTGTTCTCATTGGTAGGTTTCCCATGCTGCACTGTGGGTTAGCAGAAAAAAAAGACATCAGGTTGGGAGGAGGGAAAGGGAGAGTGGGTATAATTACATCTCATTGTACATATGTATGAAAGTCTCAAGAATAAAGAAATCTGTATTTTTAAAATGATAACATTAGAAATTGGAATGTACTTTAGTACAAGAGTGACCTAACATGTGTAGGCCCTAGTTCAATACACAGACACATACACAAACATTCACACACACATATGTGCACACACAAAACCAGTAAGATTATATAAAATGCATCAAAAAATTAATGTTTGCTTTCTTTTATTTGGAGCTCATTATGTTGCTCTGGCTGGCCTAGAATCAGGTGGGCCTTGAACTCACAGAGATCCACCTGCTTTTGCCTCCCAAGCACTGGAAATTAATGTTACAAAGATAAAATATAAAAATTATGGGAATAAAATTTTACAATCCCTTAATTCCCAAATATAGAAATTCCATAACTTAGACATTAGATGTTGGGGGCTAGGAATATAGTTCAGTGGGAGGGTGTTTGCCTAGTATGCTTGAGGGGTCTGTAGCCAGAACAGGGGTGGGAGGTGAAAAGTAGAGTTTAGACTGTTCTTTAAATGCTGAAAACATTTCAATCCATTTGTCTCTTCTAAAATAAAGTATAATCTTTTAGTTTTGAATTGTCACTGTCTTTTTATACATCCAACTTAAAGTTAAACTACAGCTATGAAATCATAAACTGTAGATGGCTTTTGTATATCATAAATATCAAAGAATATGTTAATATGCCAGTCAGTCCAGAATAAGTGTTTTTTACTTAGTTAAAAATTTTAACATACACCATGTAATGACAGAAGTATTTCAAAATGCTCAAGGAGTTCAGAAGTGCCTTACTAAAAGAGATTTGTGACTTTGGAAGTTGGGGGACACTAAACTACTCTAATCTCTTCAATATGTCAATGAGACAAAGGTTCAGGAAGGTTAACCAAATGTCCCGAGGCCAAATAGCCATAAACCAACCAAGAGGACACTATGACCCAGATCTCTAACTCCAAGTGAGGTGGTCCCTTAACCTCTCCACCTCTTGCTGGCTGTAAAGGAACATGCATAAAATCCTACACCTCTGGGTACTAAGGGAGCAAGACCTTGAATTCAAGACCAGCCTGGGAATTGATCTCACAACCAAATAAAAAAAGGAGAGACCAAAACTAAAATCAACAATGACACCACCACCACCAAAACACAGAAAAAGTGGGCGGGAAGATGGCTCAGTTGTTAAGAGCACTGGCTGCTCTTCCAGAGGACCCCAGCTGTCCACAATGCCAGCTCCTGGGGGAATCTGATGCCTTCTTCTCAACTCTTTAGGTACCAGGCATGGATACACCCACCCACCCACACCCACACACCCACCCACACACACACACACACACACACACACTCACACACACTCACACACTCACTCACCCACACCCCCACACACACTCACTCACCCACACCCACCCACACACACACTCACACACACACTCACACACACACACACTCTCACACACACACTCTCTCTCTCTCTCACACACACACACACACGTAAATAAATAAATAGATCTTAAAAACCAACAACAGAGTGAGTGCTTCTGACTTGTCTACGCTTTCCCCAACTCTGGCACGACACAGGACACCACACTTGCTTGTTTTTCACTGTGTCCCTTTAAGTTCAATTCTGCGGGATATCTGATATAACCACGTCAGCATCTACCCATCTCACGCTCTCTGATGAATCCTTAAGAAGCAAGGTTTGAGCAATGAGCGCCGGCATTCTCCCATCATGCCAGCTAACGAGGAAGCTAAGGATTTTGAGACCAAGAGTTTGTTAGTCTGGAAAGTTTTTACAAACCACAAAATGATCTATGTTTAGAATATAATGTTTCTTTTTTCTTCTCTCCCTCTCCCTCCTTCCCACCTCCCTAGGCCAAAGGTCCATGTCAGCTGTCTTTTTCAACTGCTCTCCACACTGTTCTTTTGAGATAGGGTCTCTCATACAACCCGGAGTTCACTAATTGGCCAGACTGGCTGGCCAGTGATTTTCAGGGTTGCAGAAATGTGTACCTATCTCAGCCTGGCTTTTCACTATAGGTCTGAGAATCTGACTTGGGGCTTCCTTCACTTCACTGAACCATCTCCCCAGGCTGAAGAGTGACACTTCCGATCAGGTGTTTCTCATGGCAAAGGTGGGTTAAGGGGAAACTACTATTTTGTTCCCTGACTGAACACACACAATGTGGAGAGTGCCCATGGAAAGCATGATTTTCTTTAAAATGAAAGAACTCTTATTTCAGGGAGACTTCTGGGGCAAAATGCCAACTATATAATTGATTTAAGTGAAGAAGCATAAACAGTTTTTAGTATGGTAGACGTGGGGCTTTCCATCTGCGGACACGTCAAAGGTGACACTCATTAAGCAGTAAATGGACTCTATAAGTAGCATGCTTTCTAGACTTCTTTTCTTAGAAACACTGGTACCCGAGATGACGAGAAGATAAGCTGTGGAGGAAGGTCTGTGAAATGGGTACAAGGACTAAAGGAAAGAGCTCCCATGTGTAAAGCAGAGACTCTTTAAATGCATTCAGCAGCCTGTGTATAACACACAACAGAAAATCAATATCCACAAGGATGGACATAAGTGATGCAACAAACGAGTAAATGGAGGGGAAGAAATGAATCTCCGTGAGGTAAAACTTCAAATAAACGTGTCTAGCTACTTTGCCCCCAGGATGCGGTGCATAGCTACTGATTGTGTGCATTTCTTCCGCAGCACTGGGAGCAGGGGGAAGACACAATCTCAGGCAACTAAGCTCAGCGCCCAGTCATTCATATGAGGTACTGAGACTGGGCATTCTTGAAATTATGTGATGGATATGATATTCTCCCTCTGTGATCTTCATTCAGACCCATAGTCTCCGAG